CATCTCGCCTAAAGTTGCTGTAACTTCCTTTTTTATTCTACTTAACTCTTTCTCGTCTCTGGTGGAATTAATTAACAACGATGCCTGACATTAAAATGCTTTCGACAGAAGCGGGAAACGATCCTGGCTTTACGCACTTGCAACACTTCATCCCTTCCCCTAGACCATCTCCCCTACACGAGCTATAACTCCTTTTTTATTCTACTTAACTCTTTCTCGTCTCGGGTGGAATTAATTAACAACGATGCCTGACATTAAAATGCTTTCGGCACAACCAGGAATCGATCCTGGCTGTATGCACTTGCAACGTTTCGTCCTTACCACTAGACCATCTCGCCTAAAGTTGCTGTAACTTCCTTTTTTATTCTACTTAACTCTTTCTCGTCTCTGGTGGAATTAATTAACAACGATGCCTGACATTAAAATGCTTTCGACAGAAGCGGGAAACGATCCTGGCTTTACGCACTTGCAACACTTCATCCCTTCCCCTAGACCATCTCCCCTACACGAGCTATAACTCCTTTTTTATTCTACTTAACTCTTTCTCGTCTCGGGTGGAATTAATTAACAACGATGCCTGACATTAAAATGCTTTCGGCACAACCAGGAATCGATCCTGGCTGTATGCACTTGCAACGTTTCGTCCTTACCACTAGACCATCTCGCCTAAAGTTGCTGTAACTTCCTTTTTTATTCTACTTAACTCTTTCTCGTCTCTGGTGGAATTAATTAACAACGATGCCTGATATTAAAATGCTTTCGAAAGAAGCGGGATTCGATCCTGGCCTTACGCACTTGCAACACTTCGTACTTACCACTAGACCATCTCGCCTGCACTAGCTTTAACTCCTTTTTTATTCTACTTAACTCTTTCTCGTCTCGGGTGGAATTAATTAACGATGTCTGACATTAAAATGCTTTCGACAGAAGCGGGAAACGATCCTGGCTTCACGCACTTGCAACACTTCATCCCTTCCACTAGACCATCTCCCCTACACTAGCTATATAACTCCTTTTTTATTCTACTTAACTCTTTCTCGTCTCGGGTGAAATTAATTAACAACGATGCCTGACATTAAAATGCTTTCGGCACTACCGGGAATCGATCCTGGCTGTATGCACTTGCAACGTTTCGTCCTTACCACTAGACCATCTCGCCTAAAGTTGCTGTAACTTCCTTTTTTATTCTACTTAACTCTTTCTCGTCTCTGGTGGAATTAATTAACAACGATGCCTGATATTAAAATGCTTTCGAAAGAAGCGGGATTCGATCCTGGCCTTACGCACTTGCAACACTTCGTACTTACCACTAGACCATCTCGCCTGCACTAGCTTTAACTCCTTTTTTATTCTACTTAACTCTTTCTCGTCTCGGGTGGAATTAATTAACGATGTCTGACATTAAAATGCTTTCGACAGAAGCGGGAAACGATCCTGGCTTCACGCACTTGCAACACTTCATCCCTTCCACTAGACCATCTCCCCTACACTAGCTATATAACTCCTTTTTTATTCTACTTAACTCTTTCTCGTCTCGGGTGGAATTAATTAACGATGCCTGACATTAAAATGCTTTCGACAGAAGCGGGAAACGATCCTGGCTTCACGCACTTGCAACACTTCATCCCTTCCACTAGACCATCTCCCCTACACTAGCTATATAACTCCTTTTTTATTCTACTTAACTCTTTCTCGTCTCGGGTGGAATTAATTAACGATGCCTGACATTAAAATGCTTTCGACAGAAGCGGGAAACGATCCTGGCTTCACGCACTTGCAACACTTCATCCCTTCCACTAGACCATCTCCCCTACACTAGCTATATAACTCCTTTTTTATTCTACTTAACTCTTTCTCGTCTCGGGTGGAATTAATTAACGATGCCTGACATTAAAATGCTTTCGACAGAAGCGGGAAACGATCCTGGCTTCACGCACTTGCAACACTTCATCCCTTCCACTAGACCATCTCCCCTACACTAGCTATATAACTCCTTTTTTATTCTACTTAACTCTTTCTCGTCTCGGGTGAAATTAATTAACAACGATGCCTGACATTAAAATGCTTTCGGCACTACCGGGAATCGATCCTGGCTGTATGCACTTGCAACGTTTCGTCCTTACCACTAGACCATCTCGCCTAAAGTTGCTGTAACTTCCTTTTTTATTCTACTTAACTCTTTCTCGTCTCTGGTGGAATTAATTAACAACGATGCCTGACATTAAAATGTTTTCATTTCTCGCTTTGTTTGCGATATTTTGGTTTATTTGTTATGCAAATGTCCCAAATTATGTCAATATGCATGACGACTTTAAGATACATTTGAGCCTTTGTTTTTTCATGGACACAATGATATATTTAACAGTAACTAACAGCTTATGTCATTAAGAAAAGAAGGTAAAGAAACGAAAATCCTTTTAAAAAGTGACTTTATCATTTTGAAAGTTCTACTACAAAACTCAAAAGACAACATTTTTTGATGCTTGTAAGTAGCAGCACTTTGAATTGAGGTGTATACATGCAATGCTCAGCCCAGCCTATAGGTACGGAAACGGGAAACTGTCCAAAATCAGCAAGTAATAATAAACACTAGGGGAATAATGACTAAACAAGGATGAGTAGGGCCATATTTCTGGCAGTGGCAGACACAGGGGGGGGGGGGGGGGGGGGGGGGGGGGGGGGGGGGGGGGGGAGCAACTGGCCCCTCCTTAATAATTTCTGAAAGCTTTTGAATGATAGGTGATTTATTGAATAATTGTGAACAAAGCTGTAACAATAATTTGGTTATATATTGCATGAACTTTAAGGCAACAGAGTTTAAAGAACTAAAATTTCCGGACAACCTTATCCACCCCCCTGCACCCTAAATAATTTGCAAACTGTTCGCCACTGATTTTTGCCAAATAAAATTTATAACCTCTCTTATACAATAAATATACATTTAATATTTTCTAGAATTTCTGAAAGTTCCAACCATGTGAATCAACTTCATTAGATATTCCCCCTAGCATATATATACAGCCTGGAATCATTTTGTTTTCATTAAATAGAAATTTATGTATGGCAAAATATTTTTTGTTCTCATGATATGCATTTCTCTGAAATCTTCAGAAGCTTTGTTCCAACATGTCACAGGACAACATGTTGGGTATACTGGGTTTGCGACATGTATAGCAAGAAGTTCAACGAAAGTACGAGACAATGACTTCTTTCATAGATTGTCATTGACTAAATATAATGCAGTATATTTGTATAGCCATTCTTCTGAATATCTCAAGCTGTTTGTACTTCGTCATTTTCATGTATTTCTCGGATTGTTACAATAGCTGATGCAGACTGCACGCGTCTGTGACCAGGTTTTGTCACATGTCCATTTGCAACATGACCATTCGCAATACCATTTACTTTCGATTCTTTTTGAAGAGGCAAGTCTAAATATTTTGGCGCACTTGCGACAATGTCTTGTCGATCCAACATCATTTCAACTTCACTTTCTCTGCAAGCTTTGTTCAGCTCTTTTCTAGCTTTCCTAATGACATATACAGATAATCCTATCGTGATCATCACTTGTATGACAAGAATAACATAATTACCAGAATGTTCGCTTATCACATCTTCAACCGACCGCAAAGTACTGCCCATGTAAGTGTTCATTGCTTGCGTAGGTAGCAGACCAATTACTGATGCTGCTAAACATTTTGTAACCCTGATATTTGTTATCTAAAAAATAATTTATAAATATACCATTAATAAATGGGCCTTTAATAAATCACACAAATCCTTTGTGGCCAAATTGGGTGACGGAAAGTGCCCCAGAAAAGCTGGAGAAACATCAGGGTGAGAGTAAGGGCCCTCACAGTTATGGACATTGAAACTTGTGTCCGGACCAGGCTTCCCCGTGGTGAAGTAACCGAGAGATGCGAAGATCAGGACGAGGGTAAGGGCCCCCGCCGTTATGGACCTTGCTCCCTTTGCCGGTGTGGCTTCACTGTGGGTGAAGTGTGGCCAAGTGGACACCACTTTCCACCCTGCTTTCCTTATTTGTTCTTCGAATAGGTAAATTGAAATTTACAATTTTGCATTAACAAGTAACTAATAAATATAAATACAAACATTTGTTGTTGACTACATCAAATTACAATATAGTTATTAATTAATATCAAGTGGTCCTTGCCTATTTTGGTGCGCAGTCTTGATAAATGGGTGGGATTTTTCTTGGTGTCTACTCAAAGGCAGTTGAAAACAGTATGAACTGAGATGTTTTTTGCTGATAGCTAAGGAATGCCGGCTTAAGGAATGCCGGCTTGGCAGAAAAAATGCCATTAGTGTTGTTAACTTGGCAGAACTTATTGGCAGATCTAGTTGACAAGTTTGGCCGGATATCTGTTTTCTTTGCTTATCTAATCGATATATATATATATATATAAAATTAAGTAGGGATGTTGCGACCTATTAATCCCAATTTATTTTGAAAATAAATTAGTTCTTACTAATTATTGCATAAAAATGGGTTGAAATATAATATTTCTTCAGGCATCAAATGACCTTGGTCATTGAAGGTCTAGTTCAACTGGATTCAAATTACTGTTGTGGGTTTCATATGACATTTGTTTATGTTGCAATGAAATGTGGACACAACATTTAGAAAAACAAAAAAATAAAAAATGTTCTGACTTGTAATGGATATAAATATTTGACAAAGGCATTACTAGTAATTAATTAATCAGACTGTAAAATAATTTTTTAAAATAATTTTCAAGTGGGTCAAGGAGGTTGAAATTTCATCACTTACAGCTTATAGTTTGGTAAAGGTCAAACATAATTGAAATTTGTGCTGACCAGTGTTTTTTTTATTAAGTTTTACTTTAATTTTAGGTAGGTGCATGTTGTCCCCTATGTCAGACTCTTAATTCACTCGCAAATTTCACTTTAATTTTTGCTTACATATGCTGTGTGAAAATGAGGCAATAAATCACACATTTATGTAATCAAATGTCAAATTGAGGTTTTTATCTAAACCACCCAATCAGCCTTGAAAGACGTACCTTTCGGCAAGATATTTTGGAAATGTTCATTTTGCCACTGATGAAAACATCACAGAATTATAATAGTTTTGACCCACCTACCCACCCAAAATGTCAATTTGGCATTTTGCGTGGCAACTTGAATATGTATGTGAGGCTTAAGTATATGTAAACATAGGAGAAAAATTCCATGGCATATGTAATTGAGATTATATGAGCAAATGAAGGCAGAATTATATGAGAAACAACAGGAAAGGCAAGCTTTACTATTTGTTTTCCCATATATTTGGACCGGAGTTTGCGAAATATAATCACCTTATATTAATTCAGCAATGCTACTGAATTTAGTACTTTATAAACTCGGCCTAACTCAAGATGATTTTACTCCGTCTTAGGACAGCTCATTTTGTTCTGGAGTTGTCTACAAATGCCAGACAATTCTGGAAAGAATTCCTTTCCATCTCTAGTTCATTGAAAGCAATCTAGCATTTATATAGATACATCCCATTTTACTACGTTACGTTTATATAGATCTCTTATTAAAGCAAACAATAAAACATCTGCAAACCAAATTGCAATTGTTTTGAAATGGATGGAAGAGAAAACAAAACTCTATACTCACTGCAAAAAGTCCGTTTTGCAATCCAAACGGCAAAGGAGTTAGTCTTGACAGTGCTATCACTCGAAATCCTTTCCTACCCTCTACAACTCTTACTACGGCTAACAAATTTTCAGATTCCAACCGTTTCTGTACAAAATCTCTTAGACACAAGCGACAGATTTCAAACGATATAAAAATCCCTATAAACACTGAAACGACAACGACAAGTAGACCCATACAGAAACCGTATAGATATCCAGCAGCTACGTTGAGTATAATGTATCCCCAAGCCATTGGAAATGACACTAAAGTGAACATAACGATAAACAATAAAGCCCCTTGCCATTGTTGCAAGTTTTGTACCCATTCAATAATGTCTTTCAAGTGATCGCGACAAAATATCACCAAAACTGCTGTCAAAACTAAAAGAAGTAGCACAGATGCAGATACGTGCATGCATTTATGTTCTTGGAGACAAGAGCATCGCTTTACACCGCCAATAACTTGATCGAATTTTGTCGTTTCCCCTAGGCATTTCTTCGCTTGAGATTGAATATGTTCGGTACACTTTTGTCCAAGTTTCATAGGCATTTTTGCGATTTTTTGTCCAATCCAATGTTACCTTTTTGAAGCCAAATACGCCACGAAGTTCTCCATAATATAAGGCCCAAAATTAAGAGGTAAACGTACCAACTAGATGGTTAAAATGCGTGGATAAAATGATTTACGTCAGTCGGACTTTGACACAATCTGTGACACAATACAAGGTGCTTGAGTATGGCTTGTGACCGGGGAATTTCTCTATAGTTCACCACCACCCGGGAAGATAGGACTATATTTACAACTACCGGGGGGTGCATATCTTACTTCCCAAGCTTCGTTAAAATTCCTAGCGTTGTTACAAGTCACGGCCACTCCCTTTATTTAAATAAAATATTCTGTTATAACAAACCGCAAAGATTAATATTAGGTCAATATATCATTCACAGAAGTGTAAAAAGATCGCGAAATTTCGTTTTAATTCAAAAATATTTGCATGTAAACTTTAAAAAATAACATGGACAACATGCATTATCTGTAGCCGCCAAAATATACCGGACATTTCTTGCTCGGCAAAACCTTTGGCTTTGTTTACATAAAATGGCGACAAACAATACAATATTGGCATGAAAGAAACCTATTTTATTTGGCCGTGTTTTCTAATTTTCATTCAAGGTAAAGGTCCGAAATGTACAGAAATATGTGCTAGCAAGTCAGTACACTGCCACTGGGTCGGCTGGGAAAGCCTGATTTACAGTAAATACGCCTGCGAAAATGTGTTGTTTCATACATATGAATATGTCTGACATATTGGATTGTTATATAACCCCTTGTTCTGAAAATATGAGTGACATGTGCCGGAAATACTAAAGCCTGATGGTCAAACGAGGATTAAAGTTGGCAATTAGGATTTGTTACAGGGACATTTTTTATAACAAAATAAAGTTATAAAGGTTAATTGATAACGGTGTTCCTTGTGTTGGGAAAGCATTTAAGAACAGCTACCTGTAATCAAGGTCGTGTAAAGGTCGTGTGACTAAAGACTAATACCAACTCTCATGCACAGATGCACTCTCATCCTTAATTGTTTGATCCGGGCTTGATACTTAGGCTACGGAAATACTGTTGAGTGGTTGAACGTCATTGCAAGTCATTGTGCCATGGGCAATTATTTTTTAATGACCATAAATTATTTCCAAAACGTCTCCTTTGCTTGAAGAAATTGTCTGACAGTTTAAGGGTTAAAGGGGAACACAAGACTGCATGCAAGCAATTCCTATTTTCCTTTGTTTTATAGTTTCCCGGTCTTGGACTAAACATGCGGGAGATGGCAGAAAGGGGCAGAGATGAAAGGAAATCGTCTAAGCCCTTTTCTGCCATTTCCCATGGGTATAGTCTCAGTTTGGGACACTATAGAAGGATTGCTTGCAGTCTATATTGACACCATATTACATCATCTGCTTCGATATTGTTGTGACAGTCACAACCAGATGGAAATGAGGCCTGACTTGATGGGAACAATAAAGCATTATTGATAAATATTAAATTGTTACAATGGCTATTTGGTTTAGGTGCCATCTGTTCTACTAACATGTTCGCAAGCAGGTACAGTCGAACAATGATGGGGAAAATGCTATTGGAGCATTTAGAGACTAAAAATGAACCCATTGACCATGTACAGGTGATTGACACTAAATATCTAATTATTTACAATTCATTTGCTTTGTATGTCAAGGGCAAACCTAGACTTTCTCAGATATAAACTTTTGCTTTTCTTGTACGCTTTCAATCCAGTGGTACTTGTGTAATATGTCAAACTTTGATGAAGAAGTAACGAAATTATTCATACAGTTTGACCTTGATGAAGAATCACAAAAATTCCTAAAAAATTGCGACGAGAAATCAAATTATGTGTTCACACAAATGGCGCATAATGTCATGAAAGGGATCCTGGGATACTTCATGTCCCTAACCACCATTAATGGGTGAGTGAACACAGCCCCTGGGCGTCACTAGAGGTGTGTGTGTGAGGGGGGGGGGGGGAGTGGAACACCCCCACTTGCCAATTAGTCAGCAAATTATTTTCTCCTAGTCAGCGAGAATTTGGGCAAAATTTATTAAAAAAGCATCAATTGGACCAATATGAGATTACAATAACTGGACCTCTGGGCCTTTTTTAATTAATAAGAACTATCCTTTTTTTAATTAATAAGAACTATCCTTTTTTTAAATTTTTTTATCCAGTTAATATAAGTTTATTATTCGATATAAATAAAATAATCTATAAATATAATTCAACATTTTATAAGTATTAATTTCAATAAAATTTCCTTTAGAATTTTAAACAGAGGCTCAATGTTTGTGTTCTCCCAGGCTCAATTCCGTCAATTAATGAACATTGATGAGACGTGGAAAGCTGATTCACTGCTCGACTTAGGAGCAGGGGATGGTCAGGTCACTAAAATGATGGAGAGCCACTTTAACAAGATATATGTGACAGAACAATCACCTAGCATGCGGTGGAGGTTACGTCAGATGAATTACGAAGTCTTGGAAATTGATGATTGGACGATGAAAACTTATGATGTCATAAGTTGTTTGAACTTGTTAGATAGATGTGATAAGCCATTGAGCTTACTAGAAGACATTTGTAAATCTTTGAATCCTCATGGAGGGAGGTTGATAATTGCTGTGGTGTTGCCTTTCAGTCCTTGTGTCGAGTCAGGTAGTGGCAAAGCTTGTATCTTTCACAAGGGCGGATTTTCATTTGTTTTAAAGGAGGGGTAGAAAAATGTCTGGTGGGCCGGTGGGGTGCAAGCGGCACCACTGAGCGAGCTTCGACAGGGGTTAGTCGTTAAGGTTAAAGACTTTCACACAAAATAGGAGGGGTGAAGCAAAATTTTGGTGGGGTTGAACACTTTATAAGAGGGGTTAGAGAGATTCTAGGAGGGGTTTAACCATAGAAATAATAGATATTATATCTATGGGTTTAACCAC